ATGTACATACAAAAAACTTACGAACATATAAATTTACTCAGTTTTCTTTTTTGTCGAAGGAAAGACGCTCAATGACAATGATATGAGATAATTCACCGTGAGTGAATGTTTTCGGAATATGATTAATAAAATGAAAACTCCTTATGATAACAAGTCATTCATTGAAAGATATCAGGTTCGTCTATATATATATTTAAAGAAAAAAAAGAGCAATCTCATCAAGTTCATCATTATTCAAACTAATTTTGAATAATTTCAAATTGTATTTTGATATATTTTAGTCAAAAGCTCGTAGATTAATATGACAGCGTTGATGTCACCTACAATTATTAAAAGAAATTACAAGATAATTAAAATGCTAATAATATTTCTGTATTTCACACCGTTTTAGATCTAAAAGTATCGAATTAAGTCTTGTCTCTAGGGATGTGCAGTTTCGGTGAAAACACTGAATTACTGACAGTGAGCGAACTGGCTGCAGTGATACACTGACACTGATTTGCACTGTCTGCAGGGAGACACTATCAGGTCAAAAGCGGAGCTTCACCTGGGCGGTGTTCCCTCCTCAGTATCAGTGTGCCACTGCAGACAGTGCGGTCACTGTCAGTGCGTCACTGCAGACAGTTCGCTCATTGTCGGTGTGTCACTGCAGACAGTGCGCTCAGTGCAGAGATGTCCATCGCGGCTGAAAATCTGCCGCTGCCGCGCCGCGGCCTTAGAAAAAAAAAGCTGCCGCACCGCTGCCGCGCCGCGACGGTTTATAAAAAAATGTTGCCGCGACGCTGCCGCACCGCGATGACTTATAAAAGAAACGCTGCCGCGATGAATTATAAAATAAACGTGCCGCCACCGCGCCGCTGCCGCGACGGCTTTCAAAAAAGTGTTTCTAATTTCACTGCTGTGACTATATTTGACCAGAGATATGGGTACTAGTCCATCAGATTTATTCAATATCAGGGCGTTTCATTTGTAAATCCTGAAATTCTATTAAATTCATACAGTTTTTCAATGTTTTCCAAAAAAACCCTGCCGCTACCGCGCCGCTGCCGCGATGGTTTTTTAAAAAATCTACCGCTACCGCGCCGCTGCCGCGATGACTTTTTAAAAAATCTGCCGCTACCGCGCCGCTGCCGCGGTGATTTTTTAAAAAAACCTGCCGCTGCCGCGCCGCCGCCGCCATCGCGGCAGCGGCAGCGGCAGCGCCGCGATGGACATCTCTGGCTCAGTGTCAGTGTCGTCAGCGTACCAGTGAACGCCAGTGCGGTTTTATCAGTGGTCAGTATACTGAAACTGCACATCCCTACTTGTCTCAGAACTTTTCAACAACATATCTAGCTATACAATAGAGGTCACTAGTTAACAAATTGAATAACAATAAAATCTTGGGATTTGAAAAATTTACATGATTAAAAATTAAATTTTGACTTAGCTATCATTTCATTTTTTTATTATTCTCAAATATTTTGAAATAATTATCATAATCCTGTTGGTCATTGCCAAGCAATAATACATAAAAAATGGTTGTCAACATTCCGACATACTTACCTATAAGAAGAAACAGTGTATTAGTGTTTTTCAATTGTCGTTCTCGTCATCAATAAACTAAACAATCGTTTACAATGACAACCACTAATGCTCAACCAGAACGACTTGATACATTACAAAGACTTGAACTTGAATCAACTATAGGATTCGAAGGTGAATAGTTTTATGTAAAGTTCTCTGATCAATATTATCTTATACATTGATAATTTAGGAAATGTTCCTCATGGTCTTAAATTACATCCTGATCGTATTCATATGATTTATCCATTAGGATGTAATTTAGTTATTGAAAATTTACAAACACGACAACAAGAATTTCTTCTCGGACATAATAATAATGTTTCTTGTTTAACTATTTCAAATAATGGCAAATATATTGCCTCAGGTCAAGTGACATTTATGGGTTTTAAAGTAATATGAAATAAAATTTTAATCAAATCAATCGAAAGTTCTTTTCTTTAGGCTGATATTATCGTTTGGGATTATTCAAATCGTGAACCATATGCTCGTCTTGTTTTACATAAAGTTAAAATTGAAGATTTAGTTTTTACTGCATCAGATCGTTATCTTATATCATTGGGAGGACAAGATGATGGGGCTATCATCGTTTGGAATATTGAAACAAAAGAACCTGTATGTGGTAGTCCAGCTCAACATAAAAGTGCTGGTATAACTTATTGTTTGGCTGCATCAAAAGAAGATGAATATCAATTTTATAGTGCTGGAAAGTAAGTAAAGATAAAAATCATTGTATAGATTTTATTTTTTTTTAAATACAAAATTTCTAAAAAATTTAGTGGTACACTTCGATTCTGGCAATTAGATGTACCTAATCGAAAAATTCGACCAACAGATATTAATACAGGTGTTGTTAAACGAATTGTTAAATGTATGACTGTAAGTAAATGAAAATTTTACATTAAAAGAAAAAGAATATTATATATATATATATATGTAAAGGTTTCACCGGATGGTGTTAATCTTTATTGTGGTACAACAACAGGTGATATTCTTATGATTTATATTCCGGCTACACAATTTAAAACAATTGGACCTGAAAAGAAAAAATATTCTATGGGTATTACAGCTATGCAAGCATTGGTTAATGGTGATGTTTTAATTGGTACAGGTGAAGGAAAAGTTCATATTACTGAAAAAGAAACATTTAAATCATTAAAGTATTATGATATAAGAATTTATTAAGAGATTTTTAGTTTAATTTTTGTTTTATTTATTTAGATCGTTACAAGCTCTTGGTGAAATTACTTCATTAGCATTAAGAGGCGAAGGTCATATGGTATAAAGTATTTCTAATTAATTATTTTAAAATAGAATAGATTATATCGGAGATGAGACTTCAAGAGAAGTGACAGATAAATTCCTATTTTTCGAATAGAAAAATTGAACTTTTTTCAATACACAAATAACATTCATATTTTAACTTCAATTATTAAGTCACTTGGCTATAAGTCTAGAAAGAACTATTTAAATAGTGTGATAAATGAAAATTTTAGATTATTTCATGTATGAAATAATTTACTTCTTCGTGTTACTCTCCATATTATCTATTAATATAGAATAGTCACAAAAAGTTCTGCTATCGGGTAGAAAGTATACGAACTTCAATCTTTTTGTCTGATGTTCTGATCGTAAACAACACAGATCTAAATGCAAAATATTTGCGATGAAAACAGGAATTTGTTGACACTTTTCTAGTTTCACCGTGAATCTCTTCTCCATTGGTGACTAAGATTGTGAAATATTCAAAATAAAATTGATTAGAGCAAGAAACTCACTGAAGAAGATTTAAAAGTTAACGGCTAAAACTAGCCGAAGATATCGATCATTTTTTGACAATGTTGAATGGGTGATTTATATTTCCTATGTTGAAATATTTTGATCTAAAGAAAAACTCTATATTGACTTTCTAGCTTCTCGACATGAAGGCTAATCAAGTTCTTACGATTAAATTTTAGCTGTTGTTACAAATACTGTATATCTCGAAAAAAGTATTTTTCTATAGATTTTTATTGGTACAAATCGATCACATATATACAAAGTAAATTATGCTGATTGGAAAATGGAATTAATAAATACATGTCATAATTCTCCAGTACAAGATATTGCATTTCCATTGTAAGCTTAAATAGAGAAAAAAAACGAGATTGATCAATTGGAATTGAAATTTTTTTTTTTTCTATAGTGGAAGTTCAGAATTATTCGGTACATGTAGTTATCAAGAAATTCGGTAAGAATACAAAGAAATATGCATAATGAAAATTCTTTTAATTCATTTAGTATTTGGCATGCATCAACTGGTAATGAATTATTACGTATTTCACAAGCCAATAAAACATGTAATTCAATTTGTTTTACTCGTGATGGTAAAATGATTATTAGGTATGAATGAAAAAAATTCATTTATTTTTTCTTCAAAAAAAAAACAAAAAACAAATTTCTAGTGGATGGGATGATGGTCGTATTCGAGCATTTTATCCTGAATCTGGTCGTGAAATGTTTACAGTCAATGATGCACATCATCGTGGTGTTACAGCAGTTGCTGTTACAAATGATTGTCGTCGTATAGTTAGTGGTGGTGGTGAAGGAATGATTCGAGTTTGGCAAATAAATCCAAATTCTCAAGAACTTTTAGCAACAATGAAAGAACATAAAAATGCTGTTGTTTCAATTCGTATTAATAAATCAGATACAGAATGTGTTACAGCATCACTTGATGGTACTTGTATTATTTGGAATTTAAAGTAAGAAAATAACCAAAAAAAGAAAAACAACAAAGAACAATTCAATATAAAAAAAAAAAAATTAAGAAAGAAATTCTCTTGTTTTATTTAAGACGTTTTGCACGTAATCAAGTTTTATTTGAAAATACACTTTTTCAATGTGTTGCTTATCATCCTGAAGAATATCATATAATAACAGGTGGTACAGATCGAAAAATAGCCTATTGGGAAGCAACAAATGGTGCACAAATACGTGAATTAGAAGCATCAAAAAGTGGAACAATTAATGGACTTGATATTGATAGTGTTGGTAATTATTTTGTTACAGTTAGCGCCGATAAATTAGTGAAAGTATGAATATTGTCTCTTCTTTTTTTTTTTTTATTGCTCAAAGTAAACACGCCTTTTTTTTTTTCTTATTTTAGTTATGGCGTTATAATGAAGGTGACGTACATAGTGTTGGTATTGGTCATGGTAGTGAAGTGAAGAAAGTTCGAATCTGTCCAAATACTCAACATATTATATCTGTTGGTGCCGATGGAAGTATTTTCCGATGGAAATTTCCCAAAACAGCTGTTTAAGAAATTTAAAAAAAAAAAAAAGAATAAATTAACTTCAAGAATAATTTACTCTGTCGTCTCTCTTTTTTTTTTCTATAAATGTATATGAGGAAAAAAAAATATATAACATGAATCAATGATGATGTTCAGTTATCTAAGATATAGCATCAACACGCATTTTTCGTTTTCGATTTCGTTTTCGTAATGACCCCATAGATAATAAACGACAAATAATATCAATAAGTAGAAAAATTGCAGCTAGAAGTCCAAAACCCTATAATAAATATTTTACTTAATAGAAAACAAAAGAACAATGATAACTAACTGCGGCTGCACCAGCTGCACCAGTTTGTGCTTTACGATAACCATTTGGTGTTGATTGATAAGAATTTGATGTATAACGAGAACCAAATATAGTTGATAATTTTACTTCCCAAAAAATTGCAGCAATAGATATGGCAAGAACAAGAAGAAAGAATAGAATTAATATGATGGCAACCTAAACAATAAACAAATATTTATACGGTTTGTTTTTTATTATTGATAAGCATCTTATCAAATGACATAATAGTAATGCATAGAAATTAAAGATTTACGGTATTAAGAATTAAACAAGGAAGTTTTTTTGTTCATTTCCTAATTTTACGATTTTCAATTATATTGATTTAGAAAAAAGTCATGTTTCTTGGTAGAAATTTTAACGTAGCACAAATAGATAATATTATAGCTATTCGTTTCATTTTTATCACTTGGAACAACGAATACATTGCCTATATTATTAAGAAAAACAATAATCAAATTGTTTTACATACTACTTTAGTAGCAATTTTCCAAATTTTTCGTTTACGTAATGCTCCAAATACATGAATTAAAAAAATAATTAAAACAGCAACAAGACTAAGAACAAAAATAACTATTGTTGCTGTTTTAACTGTATTTGCCGAAAGTGATCTATATGAATCTGGTGATGAATTTTCACTACATTCCACTAGTGCTGCAACATATTGATTTGTTGTATAACCTTGACATATTTCTGAAACCCAATCAGCTTGTTGTGCCCAGCCAGTAGATGCAATCAATGCACATATCATACCAAAAAAGAGACATATCAATAAAAGAAGAAAATAATTAAAATAAGATTTTTTTTTTATTTCTAATTAGAAACAAAAAAAAAAACTTCATTTTACCATAGTGAGAATTTCAAGAATTCCCAATATTGATCTCCAATAAGAACGATCACGACGATAAACTCTCATTTTTTTTTTTTTTGTCAAAATACTTATTCTTTTTCTTTGATGAATTCAAAATGATTGACCTCCTGCTGAATAAATTTTTTTTTCTTATATTTAAAAATTACATATTTTTTTCTTTTATTTCGGAAAAGAAAAAAAAGAAACATAAAACGTAACTAGGCATAATTGTTTGTATAGATTAAATAAGGATAAACATGATGATGATAAATTTACATATTATCTATCATTAAATATGTTTTTCATTTTCTTAATATTCTATAATTATCGACTCTTATTATCACGATAATATCCATATCTAGCATTACTTTTTGCGTGTAATCCAAAGATTCCTAATATTCAAAATGAGTATAAACTTAATGACCTAATCATTCGATTTCAGCCGTGGAAAAAAATCATGAACATATTTAAAAATAGATCATTCAAAAAAAAAGAAATATATTCGCATAGTATCTACATTTCTACAGATTGTTTTTTTTTTGTCTTTATCAAATATATATCTCATTTAATCTCTACATGATGCACATAGTCTTGATTGAAAAGCGATTAATCAATTGATAAACTTCTCTCATCATTTTAGATTACCAAAAAGAAAAAAAAGAGAAAAATTTGTAGTGCTTCCCGTTTATTCTCGATATATTATCATTTGCTTAGCTCCTTCATTATGTTGATTGCTTGGGCATGATATTTCATCGTTCTCTTGTGACTATGTATTATTAATTAGTTTATTGTACATCTCTTCTATCTTAATGTTTAGATTATTTCCTTTTTTTTTGTTTAGTATAATCAAGACAATAGATTAAAACCGTTACAAAAATGAATTTCTTTTTAACTTCTTCTGCGCATCATTCATCGTTTTATTTGAATCATCCAAAAACGAGTTTGTTTTTTTTTAAATATTATTAACAATATCAATGAAGAAAAAAAAGCTACGTCACCAACATCATTCAACAATGAATAAAATACCCTTGAAAAAAAAAGAAAAAAAAAAAAAAAAAGAAAGGAACAAATGTGTAAAAGTAATGAGAAAAAAAAAGTTATAGTCCTGGAACGTTTCATTTTTATTATCAGTAGAAGAAAAACAAAACGAAATTTTATTCTCTTTTTTTTGCATTATTTATCATTTTTGTTCAATGTTAACGGCTGTTGATTCATTTCGATTTTCAGCTTTTAATTTTTGAAATGCTTCAAATGCAGCTGCTTCTTTAGCTTCTTTTTTCTTATTACGTTTTTCATACTCTAATCTACAAAATCAAAACAAAGAATTTTATCTCAAATATTTATATAAATATCAAACACCAAACCGATTATCAATAATACGTGTAATAATGTCCTGTGTAGTCATTGGATTTCCACTATCAATTCTTTGAAATATGCCAAGTGTTTTTGGTACTTCATATGGATCACTTCCATCAGCATCAGATTCATATTCTGTTCGACCATGAATAACAAGCGAAACCTATTGATTTAAAAAAGAGAAAAAGAACTAATTAAATATTAATTGTTTATTGTTTAAAATACATACTTTAAAATGATTAATTAAATCCATTGTAACAGAATAAGGTGCAGCAATAACAACTTCATCAACATACTAATAATAAAAGAAAAAAATTTGCAATTAAATTCTTTTTTTGTTGTTTATATTCAGATTTTACTCGACAAGCTAAGACACTTAAGACCCGTTCATGAATATTCATTATTGGATGATTACTTCCTTTGTATCGATTAACAACCTAGAGATAGAAAAATCAATAGCTTTTTTTCTTTTTTTTACTCTTATTTGTTTTTGGAAATAATTACTCGATCACCATGTAAACCAACAATAAGATAATCACCACAAGCTTTTACTTTTTCAAGAAAATCGACATGACCAACATGAAATAAATCAAAAGCTCCAGCTGTATAAATAACTTTGTCACCAGGCTAAAAGAAATTATTTATATATATAATAAAACTCAAATGTTCATAAAAATTATCGATTAATTCATAATCTATTATTAGAAATTTCTAAACTTGAGAATGAGCAGTACCAGCTTCACTCTGTTGCATTTACAACAAATTAATCTAATTGAATTCATGATAGAGAAAGTTTACTAAAAACAATTTCTGATGATTTCTTCAGGGAATAGTGCTAGAACTACTCTAATTTTAATTAAGAATATTTTAGTAATATCTCATTCGATTATATTTCATAGATATAAAATATGATCTACCTTTGGTTCACGACCATTAGAAAATTGTATAATTTTATTAGTTGTTGCTAAAAATTGTGAAGCACCTGTCCATGGACTAACACTTTCTTTACATAAACTCATTCGACGTGTATTCTCTGGATCTGGTAACATATCATCAGGTTCATGATGACTTTTTGTAACTAATAACATTCTAAATAATTCTAATAGAATAATGAAATAAATAAATAAAAAAAAAAAGAATTCAAACCTTCCGACAAGATCTGTTGTTGATACACCTTGTGTTCGTTTACATTCTCGATATCGACCTGCAGCTTTGACAATATGATAAGTATCAACACCATCAGCCGTAACCTTTTAATAATTAGAAACAAAAAAAAACCGTTTACTATTAACAAGTCAAATAAAGGAAATATATATTTTTTTTCTTACAGTAATATCATCACCATGTACACAAAAAGCACAATTATATTCTTCTAATGTTTCAAGTGTTGTTACATATGGAGCATTCTCAACAACTTGATCAACCCATTTAATAGCACGAACCATTTTATAACGTTCTTGCTCTGTAAATACTGGTGGACCTTTATGTTTAGTAATTTCCGCTAAAAAAATATAATTACATAGAAACAAAAAAATAGATATATATATGAGAAATTTCAATACAAACCATCAGAATGAACACCAACAATTAAATAAGTACCCATCTGTTTTGCTTGTCGACAAGCATTAGCATGACCAAAATGTACCATATCATAACTAATAATAAGAAAATATTCTCGATTCTGACTTTTCTTTCTTCTGATAAACCTAATCTGGACCCAAATTTACAGAAAACTACGTCAGACTTTCTTGTTTTGTCATCTCTCCTGCATATTTGGATGTATTGATACCGATCTATAACATAATTTACTAAAAAATCATAGAAAATTTCACTAAAATTTTTGCTCGATTCAAACAACTTTTTTCTCATCATCTCACATGTCATTAGTCAACATGAGTTAATATGACGAGATAAGTCTAGTATGATTCAGAAAATGTTTGTCTTTCTGTTCCTGTACTGTTTCTATTAGTGACATTATCTTAAGCCGATAATTATTAATGAGTCACATTGACAGTGACGTCATCTGTTTCACTAAGCAACGCTATTTGCATTAATAATTCCTAATAATATTTTCGATACATTCTAAGTTGATCAATTCGAATTTGAATAATCTATAATAACTAAAGACTTATTTCGTTTTCAAAATGAGTTAATAAGTTTCCTTGTTTTCTTCCTCATCTAAATTAGATGTTCTCATTCATAAATTCTGCGTAATCAGCAATAGTCTTCTAACTTATAAGTCATGCGTAATAAATCATTCTAGCTTATCATAAAAAAAAAACTTCTTGTCTAAAGATAACCTTTTAAATATCTATTAGAGAACTACATGAACTAATTGTTATACTTACCAACCATCCATCCAAACTCGTACATTTTGTTCCGGTTTTGTATGATTTGTAGTTGATGTACTCATATTTTTTTATTGCTATAAAGATATACAACAAATAAGTACACACATATATATATATCAATCGATTATTCATTCGTCAAATACTATACCATAAAAATAAAGTAAAATAGATGTCGTTATTTTAATTTATTAATTCCTATGGATTGGTTTTTATATGAACAGGTGGAGAGGCTACTAGGTTTGATTATTATATTGGTAATCCGTTGAACAAATTTAACAAAAGAAAAAAAACTAAAATAAAATGGATTACAAACTTTTCTTTTTTTAAATTTTATCTTTAAGATGCCATCGATTTAAGTCCGGTGAATAAAAAAAAAAAACCAAAAAGAAAAATGTTATTATCAAATCTACGGGAACGGTCTTTATGTCTTATAAATTCCGAAAATCTTGATCCAACATTTCAACCATGGCTTACAATTTCAGATGCTAAATTTCATCCTGATGTTTGGTATGTTGAATTAATAATAATAATAATAATAATAATCAATTATTCATATATTCTAGTGCACTTTATTGTCATGCTAATATAAATCCAATTCAATCAATTCAAACAAATTATTTACCACCATTTATATCTTATTTATGGCCATTAATACATCATGGTGCTAATGTATGGGCTGTTGATCATCCTACAACACGTGAAACAACACCAATGAAATTTGTTGTAAAATATGATTTATTAATATGGGATTTTTTCTATCGTTCAACAAATATTAATCCATCATTAAATTCAAATATTATTTATCCAAAAATATTAATTCTTGCACCGGATTGGTTTACTTGTGAAAATGCATATAAACATTTATCGAATGTTAATACAGATATACTTAAAAAAATTCTCATGTGTTGTATTTATGAAGGACAAAATATTGAAAATGAATTATATAAGAAATTATTAACACAAGGTTGTGATCTTCTTATAGCTACACCAACGATTGTTAATGATTTAATACAAAAACGTCATATACATTTTGAACGACTTGAAATGATTGTTGTAAGTTTTTGATGTTGAATATATTTTACTATTATTATTTTAGATAAGAATTAATTTTCAAGGAGAAAAAAATTGTTTGTTTGTTATTTTTTTTTTCACTAATTGATCAATTCAAAATTTTTACTTAGATAGAAATTTGCA